AGGATGGGACCTGTAAAGGGCCCGAAACGTCGGTTTGTATGAAAAAACAAATATACGCGATTTAAATCCGGAAAAATAGTTTCATTTCCTAAATAATTCATTTTTCTACGATTTTATGGAATTTACGCAAAACAATTGACACAACCATACCGTACAAAGCGAAAATGGCGGACTGAGCTCCCGTAGGTCCTAAGAGACCTATGGTTGGCGCGCGCGTGAGGCTAACTAACCACTTCTACTGTATGTTCTGTTCTGTGGACGGGACGAACAAGTCGTGCGCCTGATGGTAAGCTACACGCCTTTCCATAACAGTTATGGCGCCACTCAGAGCTTTAAATCGCAAAGATCTGAGGGCCACTACCACTGCGCCCGTCACTCTGAGACATTACTTCACAAGTCCCATGTGCCTGTAATTTCACCAGCACTCTTACGATTCAAATCCTTACTCTCCTTTTTTGGGTACTCTACTTTCTTCTTACTCTACTTTTGAATATTTCACTTCACTTATGCAGACAAATTCCCAGCGTTTCATCACGCACCTCGAGCGTTTTAAGTTTGTACAATCACGCCGTAATTATCATAAACAAACCTTATGCTTCTAGCTCAAAGTTATCCAATGAAGAGACAATAATCAATGTTATGTAGGCTACGCCTTTTTTTGGATGCGTAATGTATCGTACAATTAAATACTTAGTTGAGTACTTATTATTGACTCGTATATACAATATCGAGTTCTTAGGTTTTCGGTATTCTTATACATAAATATAAATATTAGACAACATCCCATACGTTGCTCTGACTCCAAGTGACAAAAGCATTTGTGTTATGGAAATCGGAAACAACGACGGTACTACTAACACCCAGACGCTCGACAATATAAAAAAGTTAATTTCTACACTGACCCGGCCGGGGATCGAACCCGAGGCCTCAGAAATAGCGACACCATGAAAACCGGTGTGCAAGCCACTCGATCATGAGGGTGGTCTAAACACATTGAAATTGGAACTAGTTTTTCGGATCTAAATAGTTCTATATATTTGTTTTTTCGAACAAATCAACGTTTCGGACCCTTTATAGGTCACGGCTGACCTTTTATGACGAGAGCGTGGCGAGACCACATATACAATGTTAAAATGAAGTACTGGTTGCGTTTAAATGAAGTATTTATCACGGTAACAAATCCCATAATTTATATTTTTTTAAGTCACATTTCTTGATAAAGATGTGATCGAAATGCGATGCGAAAAATATTTTTCGATATCATATTCAACTATTCGACACTTTCTTCTATTCTCCACCTCAACGACTCTACTGCATAATGCATCATCTAACTGCGCTGTTTCCATACGATATAAAGCTAACACCCCTATTAACCCGGCGGGTAGGGTTGCGGCAATTTCGACTAATTCTGATGGAGACATATAATAAGTATATGTATGGGCTATTTAGTAGGTTAATTTGTGGACATTTCGTAAATGGCTCATTGCACAAAGAATAATTTAAAGTTAAGATTTGTCATTTGCGTCTCATTTCGCAAAACAGGAGCATCATTACATTCCAACCTTAAGTTGTTAAGTACTTAAACGAAGACAAAGTTTATTGAATTTTTTTAACTTGATCTGTGTACGCCTGATTTATTACCACATCCAAACTTCACTAAAAGCACAAAACTAGTTTTCCCATACTTGCGTGGTTGATACTTTAGGGCTTGTTCCAAAGCTCTTCCATCCTATCGCTTATTTTGTCAACCCTGCCTTGTGACTGACGTATGCATAATTTAGACTCTTTACCAATTAGTGGGGGAGTTCATACGACTCTTCATCTAATGGTCTGCCTGTGTAGCCAGCATTTCTCTGTCAACGTCATTCTGTGTCTTTTTACTCGACGCTTTTCACATTTCATATTAGTTAACTAGATAAAGTAGAACATATGACAGTTTAAACTGTAAGATTAGCTTGGATGCATTGCTAAAAATGTTAGTTTATAATTCATCCAATCAAGAGCAGAGATATATATGCGCGATATGAGAGAGTAATATATATGCGCAGGCAGTTTTTTTACGTATTTTAAAACTACTGGAATTATATAGGTACAGTCATTAGCATGCTAGAAATATGAAGCTTTCGAAATGTGGTCTATTGTAGCCCCGCATCAATTGGACGGACAAGGTCGCGACTGTCGAGGTCCTTAAACGTATGTCGAAGAAGGTTGACCTGGTACGCACTAACAGGCAGCGGAAGGTTGCCTATTTGGGTCATGTACTGCGACATGACTGATACCAACTATTACACACTATAATGATAAGCAATATGGCTGGGAAGCGGAAGGTTGGAAGAAGGAAAATGTCATGGCTTCGTAACATCAGGATGTGGACCGGACTCAAGACCGTGGAACAACTGTTCAGGCTTCCTCTGAAGATTTATAAAACTAACTACTGACCTTCAATAATGGCAAGGAACTTCAAGAAGAAGAACAGCATGCTGGATTTTCACTTTTGACTTTAGACCATATTGTCGTAAATAATATAAAGTTGATGATGTGTCATTATCACCTTATCTATGTTGAAATCGTAATATCACAATAAATACATACAGATTTATTACCTATACAAATTCAGATTTTTACAGCCCATAGTATAAACAACGGTCTAATTTATGCATTGAAAAAAGAAACTTCTTGCGTATAAAAGATATAGACGACTAACTTTCAATTGATAGTCGCAATTCAAATTCAAATCTTTTGTGAAGTATGTAATAAACTCAGAGTTTTGAATCGGGATTACGGATGAATGCGCAGGAGTTTATTGACCCCATTATCTGACCCCAAAGGAAGAGGGTTCTTAATGTTGATAGTTAATGGATGGCATCGACACACGGATATAGAACACACGCCTTTATCTCTGTCACGCTCCACGACTTTTTCATACCATTCATTAGATTCTATTCACTGTATTGTTATATTAAATCTGTACAGTTGGCGAATAATTGTGGCCTTAATTATAAGCCCCTATACAAATCTCCCTATTTTTGATTTAGATTTGGTAACATCAAGAGTTATCTCTAATAGTGATTGCGATAGAATTACGTTCTCAACATTTTTGTCTAATCTATAAAAACGATTGAGAAAAACAACGTTGAATAAGTTGAATTCTAGAATGCTCTGGTTAGATAAACAATGCTAAGCGGTGAATGATTCAAAGCCGGGCTGTTGAAACGTTTCGTTTTCTAATGTAGATACCGTCCTAATAGATCCGTATCTTAAGTCTAAATGCAATGAACGTAAGTGTTCCCTTTGGATAAGCTTTGTAGACGAAATTGACGAAATAAATTTTATTGTGAGTTAAATATAATATCATTTAAAAAGAAATTGAATATGCTCAATTTACATCGTCAATGTTAACAAATAAAAGTCAATACCTGTTCCTCTGACTTCATTTTATCTGCAAGCAGGTACGATACCCAAGTATTTTGCGATTTGGCACATAATTTTCGATTATATCATTTTATTATTATTATTTTATGATATCGAGTGACGGGAGGAACAAGTCATCCAACTGGTAGTAAGCGATATGCCTGTAAATAATAGTTGCAGTGCCACTCAGAGCTTAAAATCACAAAGATCTGAGAGACGCTGCCACTGCGCTCGCCATCCTGAGACATAAGTGAATTGTTAAAGCCCATGTACCTGCAATTTTATCAAAAGTTCCCTCTCTCTTCCATCAAAACCACCTTATCCTTCAAAACCGGAACGCGGTAATGCTCACATTACTGCTTGG